TTCCAAGTCATGGGGTTACCAGTGAGTACATTTTTTTGAAAAAGTCAATAAGACTTGGCAACTTCATGAAAATGATTGGTATTGTCTTTGCCTTAGTTGATTTGATTATTGACCTATTATTTATCTTTGAAAAACTTATTGTCCATGTACTGGTAAAGATTTTAACTCAAAAATTACTGAGTAAAGCATCTGCTTGTAGATATGCCTATAATTAACCTATCACATGAGTTTTGAATCTGGTCACATTTTTTTTAACAGGTGTTGTTACCATTTGTTTTCTTTGTGTTGTGTTTGTGTTTTCATTCTTCTTCCAATTTTTCAAAACATATATCCTAACCAATCTCCCCCTTCACCTGGATTCTTCAGTTTGGTCATGACCCATTTTCTGTTGACTTTGGTTCTGTTTTTATGCATTGATCAGACCATTTACCTAATTTACATTGTATTTCAAATCCTTCCAATAATAGACTGTGAGTCAGATGGGTTTGTTTGATGGTGGCCAGATAGCTTACTTGGTAAAGCAACTTCTAGAGTTGAGGGGCCCAGGTTCAAATCCTGGTCTGGTCTGTGTAATTTTCACCCTTTCTGTTATATTTGGTTCTGTGCTATGCCCTGGAAGTGACAGGTGAAAGCTGCCAGGAAAGTCTGGGTTGGTGTCTTCAAGGGCAAAGTCATTCAAGGAGGGAGGACTGTGGTGTTTAGGTGGGTATATTTGTAAGGTCATATTGCTCAATTGGTGGAGCTACTTTCTTGTGTTCAGTAGGCCTGGGTTTGAATAGTGGTCTGGTCGGTCATATTTTCTCCTTTCTTGTTTCAACACCAACAGACAACTTCACAAAGAAAAAATACTTCAATGATGATGTCTGAATCATATAATATATCTGGGACACTGTCAGCTTTTGATAGGTTCAGTGAGACATATTCTGAATTAGCATTTTAGTTTATTTGGTATGATAATAAGGTAATGATGCAAGCATCCTCAGATCAATTGAAGAATGTTCAAATAATGGTCCATCAGGGGTAGGGTAGGGCCACTGTTCTGAAAAAGAGCAGGGTCTGTATGACTCAGGTGAGCACTGTGTCCCATGGGTCTTTTGTTGGAGGTGGTTCAAGTTTTTGGATCAGGTCTCATTTCCAAGAAACTATAAGTCCTACTTAGACCAAATCTCTGATGCTGGATCTGGCCTACTGGTACATTTTTTTGGATGAGTGACCTAGTTTAAGTTTTTTTTTAGCAGGTTCATTCAAAAGTTACTGTAAGCCCTGTGGTTAACAAACTTGTATGTATGATGCATCTAGAGATGCACACTACCAGATATGCTTCTGGATCTGACCTTTATTTTCCAGCTCAGTTTACAGGTTAAAGTTTTTGGAGCAGGCCCATTTCCAAATAACTAGAAGTTGTACTTGAACCAAACTTGCATGGATTATTGATGTTGGGATGAAAGTTTGCTTTAGATTTTATCGGTAAATTTTTTCTACATGAATAAACACGCTAAAGTTTTTTGGAACAGGCTCATTAACAATTAACTTTAAGTTCTATCTGAACCAAAATTCTTATAATTATGATGCAACTAGAGATTTGCTTCAGATGCTGAATCTGACCTACATTTTTGGGATGAGTGACCAGGTTGATGTTTTTGGAGCAGGTTCATTCTAAAGTACCTATAAACCCAATGGTGACCGATTTTGCATGGATGAAGCATCCAGGAATGTGCACTACCAGACTTCCTTCTGATGCTTGATCAGATCTTTATTTTTCCGATGAGTGAGCAGATAAAAGTTTTGGTGCAGGTCCATTCAGAAGTAACTATAAGCCCCATGGTGACTAAACTTGCATGGATGATACATCTGTGGATGCAGACTACAAGACTAGCTTCAGGTGCTGGATCTGACCTACATTTTCCATATGAGTGAACAGGTTAAAGTTTTTGGAGCAGGTACAATGGTAATGTTGGTGACTAGACTTGTGTGGATGAGACATATAGGCATGCCATGCACACTGAAAGACTAGCTTCAGATGCTGGATTTGACCTACATATTTCATGTGAGTGAACAGATTTAAGTTCTTGAAGCGGGTCCTTTCCCAAGTAACTATAAGTCCAATGGTGACTTAACTTGCATGGATGAAACATACAGGAATGGCAAATGCACTCTACAACATGTACAAGACAAGCTTCAGATGCTGGATTTGACCTACATTTTCCAGATAGGTTAATGTTTTTGGAGCAGGTCCATTCAAAGTAACCATAAGCGCTACCTGGACCAAACATAGTACATGGATTATTGATGTAGGGATAAAGGCTACAAGACTTGCTTTGGATTCAGGATATGACCTACATTTTCTGGATAAATTACCAGATTAAAGTTTCATTACCAGGTTACAGTATAAGCCTTATGCTGACCATTGTCGGATATCCACAGGTGATATCGTCTTTTACTCATCTGAAGAGTAAAAGACGAGATCATCCATGGGTATTCAATGATGTATGTTAACCAAACTTGCATGGATTATGCATCTAGACTTGCTTCAGACACTGAATGTTACTTAAATTTTTCAGATGACTGAACAGGTTAAGTTTGGAGTAAGCTCATTTTAAAGTAGCTAAAAATCCTACCCAGTCCAAACTTGCATAATTGTTGCATCTATGGATGCACACTACCAGAATGTTGTAAACGTACATAAATAAGCACACTCAAAATTTAGCACAAACCTCCTCATCATCTGTTTAAGGTAACCATGAATTGGTACTTGTGGATCCAGGCCTCCGATACTCGTATGTTTTTGTTCTAATTTTTTTATTGTGTATACTAATTTAGCAGAAAGGAAGTAGAACTAAAGATGTTAAAATATGATTACTGCTAAAATAAGTGTTTACATTATTTGTTTGGTAAGACTTACTTATAGATAACTTTTGTTGTGGTGAGCTTTGTAATCTTAGTAAACTTTTGATTACTTACGATTAGATATATATTTTTAGTGAAAGGTGCTTTTTACCCAATCAAGATCAATAAGTTAAAATTTCAATGGATTTAGTTTATGTTAAACAGCCATTCTGCTTTTCCGTGCCCTTTCTGCTTTTTTGCGACTACTTAACACCGCTTTTCTGCAATTGGTTTACACTATAAGTTATAGGGTATCTCCTTTATTTGATACCTCGATTCTTTCCACGAGTTTTATTTGGCCACAGGTAGTACTTTGCATCAAAAAGTGGTGATATTTACTTGTATTTCCTCATAGAGTTTTAGTCATTTTAGAACTTTATATGAATTCATGGATTGAAGCGATAAAAATTTCATGAATTTCGCAGTTCATATTGGTTGGTGATAGGTTTCTGAAGTCATGGAAATTATTCATACTGAATCAAATTGCTGTAAAAATGCATAATACAGAAAAGTAAATGATTTAAATAATGGCGATGCAGCAGAGGAAAAGTATGCAAAGCCACAATTAGAAATGATGCAAAAGGACCTGTCTAACAGAAGAGGTACATGTTAAAATAAAGTTGTGGAAAAACAAAAAAAATATTGCTGAATAAGAGTATGATAAGTGGCGGAAAAGTAGAATTTTTTTGCGGAAAAGCAGTGTTGAATCATGAAAAAGCAGAACTGTGGCTTAAACTTGCATGCTTGTTTTTCACTCTTTGTAGAGCAGTATATTTTGTATTTAAACAAAAGACTTCGATAATCATCTGGAAATAATAACTGAAATGCTCAATACAGTTTTAGGATGGGTGTGAAAGAAATCAGCATAATTCTTGAATATGCAATCAGTGGTATGATATTGAATTAAAGGAATGTAAGCCTGAATAAGATTTAAATTAAATGGACACATTTCATAAAATACAGGACTGAAAATATAAAGTAACGGTATATAGAATTTTGACACAAAGGATTTAAAATTAAGTGGGAAACTATCAAGTTAAAGTATAAAATCTCACAAAGTTTTGACAAAACATTTCTGGTGAATGCATGTTTGTGATGATTATATTTTCAACTATAACACATTTATTTGTTAAAATTAATAAAAATTCAGACATTTATTTGTCAAAATTAATGAAAATTTCAGATGTGTTAAAAAGTACAATTACTTCCAGATATTTTAAAAGTGGGGTGTAGAATTAATTTTGCAGGAGTAGAAATTTTCTTCAGACAATTTAAGAGCCACATTTTTTAATGCCTCCGTAATATAAGTACTACTCTACTGATTCTGTCAGCATTTTGTTGCTTTACTCTGAGTTTTATTGGTTAATGTAGTACATCTTTATGAGTCTATTTTTCATCCTTCACTGTAAGTTTTATCTTCTTTGCAATTCGTCGGAGATGATTCTCGTGTGATCCCACTTTTACTTGTTAATCATACTTAATGATATTTTACTTTTATCTGTAATCTCTCTAAGCTTTATCTGATCATTGTATTTTGTTTAAGCTCTCAACTAAAATTCTTTACAGCAGCTGTAAGATTTCACATACAATTGTAATTATTTTCTCCATACCTTTATTGGTAAGAAAATCCATCACGATTTGATCCTCTAACACACTGGAATATCCTCAGAGTTAATTCCCCTGATCTTATTATTGCTCTGTAAGTTATTTCTCAGTCAAAGCTAATAAAATCCTCAAAAAAAAGAACAACTCGTTTACTTAGCCTGTTTTTCAATCAGACTTTTTATAATGAAAATATATTTAAAGTCTACTCAATGTTATCACAATTTCCTTTGGTCATTTAAATAAACATTTATCACCCAAATGTCATTTTCTCCAATGGGTATTCCAAGTTCCTTTTCACCCAAAAGCTGTAAAATATCCCTAGCTTACCAACAAGTCTATAAAAGTCTGCACTTGGGGTGTGAGTTAGTTCAATTTATTTTTTTCTTCCTTTGAGATCTTTACATCACTTAAAGTAAAATCGGCAGACATTCAGTGGTTTCTATGCATCAGAGCAGAGCTCTTACTGGAACTGTTTAGTTTTAACCCTCACTCTCTATAACAGAGAAACGCTTCAAAAGATCGTAACAATCAATTCGCTGGATTTATTTATCTTTGAGCCTTGTTAAAATGAATACACAATGAAAAATTAAGTAATTGATAGCAATAGTTTAAAAAACGTAGGAAGCTTTTGGTTATTGCTCATTCCATTGTCAGTTTAAAATTGACAGATGAATGGTTACTTTATAAAGTTACTGGGTGTGTAGAAAAGACAAAGTTTATCAAAGGAAGTGGGAACAGGAACAGTGATTTCTTTAGCAGGGAATTGTCTGGTTCACTGTTTGTCTTTCTGTCTGTGACAAGTGAGAGTTGTTCGTGATGGATCTGGATGACCTAGGGAGCACAAAAGTGGGATCCGATATGGATGTGGTGGTAATACGCTGGAGATTTGTTGAAATGAAATTTAATACTGATTGTTCTTAAATAATTTCACTTTAAATCCTCTGTCTTTGCTTGTCATTTTTTGTTTTGGTTGATAATCATAAGATTAGGCTATAGTCTATAGATTCTGTCTGTCCACACACTAATGGGCTAAAATCAAGGTGACTTTTCTTAATAGTTTATTATTTAATGTGCCTTACTGATAATTATGAAAAACACATTACTTAGAAAATAACTGGTTTAAATTGAAGTGATTCCCAGGTGAACAAATTGCTTTATTTGTATATTGATATTTATAAAATGGGTTGACTGAAACTTTTTTAATGTATGTGTCATGATATTTTGCAGTACCACTATTTATTGTTTCTAATTCCTATTCAAGGTTAATTTCAAAGTAAGATCTGTATACTTATGTGGTATATGTAAACAATACCTACCGTACATGAACTACTTTTTATATACAGGATGCCGTGAAGATGAACCAGTTGCAGAATCTTTTACATGACTCGTTGATAGCAACGGACCACGTACATCACTGTGCCATCATTCGACGGAAGGATTGCAATGTTAGAGCAAGCTCTGTAGGATTTAATGTAAGTATAAACATACTACAAGATATATATTTGTTAAGCCACTTAGTGGTTGTCCGAGCTTTGTTCATGGTCCGCTTTTTGGTAATGATAAAGTCTCATAGTAATTTAAGATGTTTAGGATTCGTGTGTTTACTTTTGAAACCTGAGCAGTCAGAAGACCACTACCATATGCACTTTAAAAATATTTTCTGGCAGAGTGATAAAAAAGGTTAAGATATAGAATTTAACCATTGTCAGAAGTTGGAAAAAAGTTAATTATTTAGAGCATGAACATCTCTAAATCAAACAAATTTCTTTTATATAGCTCCACCATGACCAAGTCCAGATGTTATTAGATGCCTTCAAAAACCCTCCCCAGACTCGGGAGGAGGGCCTTTATTTTGATGACCAGCAATACAAATGTGTTCGTGCTGACAAAAACTCCATATACGGAAAATGTGTAAGTTACTGTTTTACTCCAGAGAGAAAACTGAAATGTACTTGTATTAAAATAACAGTCAGTATTTGTTTACATGCATACATTTACATCCACTAAATACTTTCTCCTTTATTTCTTATAAAAACTTGTATATAAAAACAATTAACTTCTACCCTAGTTAGATCCAGATTTTTTAAAGCCATCTGTATGAAAAAAATTTCTTGTTTATTCCATCAACGTAATGCAGGGATTGAGAATACAATATTTTACATACTTTCACCCACTTTTTATGAATAATCCATACAGATATAAATACAAACAATAAAATGCTTTCTTTCTTTGTTTATATAAGGGGATGCATTGTTGCAATCATTGCAGAAAAAACTGATGCAACCATTCAACCTCATATAACAAAGAAAACACTTTTTATTGTTTAAATAACTTCATCCTTAAGGCTATATAAATTGTATTGATGTAAAAAAAAAAAAAAAGATCTATGCAAATGAACATGTACTTCAACTTAAATCAATTTTATTTTCCTTCAGGCCATTAAAACCTTGAACTTGACATAAATATTTATTGCCTTTTTCTGACAGTATGGCAACTTTAAACTACAGGTAAACTTCGGTATCTCGACATCGGATATGTCGACAACCTGGGATATGTCGACATCCTTCCGCGGTCCCGGCAGTATTTACTATATAAATGATTTGCAAAAACTCTGATATGTCGACCTCGGTAATGTCGACAACCCGGGTTATCTCGACGTATATTCACAGTCCCAAGAGCAAAATTTACCTGGCATATGTCGACATCGGCAATTTTCTGCTCTACTGAACCTAACTGTTTGTTAGACAGGGTCGCTCGTCACGCACGGACAACTCTGGGTATCTCGACGTCGTCAAAGTTTCACACCCATGTTTTGATAATTAATTTTATAGACTGTGTTTGTAGGTGAATCCCAAGCCCCTTCGGCGTCTTTGAGAAGTTAATTGAGCTTGGCTAATATCCTTGCTAAATCTACACGATTCTGCGTAAATGTACAGAATGTTATTTATATCGAAACGTAACATAACTTTTAAATTTGAAAAAGATAACTAAATTACAATGAATAACAAAAACACACTGAAAATTCATACTAAGGAATTAAAAAAAAAGTTTTAATGATATTTTGTAGTTAAAATGTATTCAACAGGAAACAATCCAATTAACGACACGATTGACAGAATCAGTCGTAATTCGTGCATCCGTAACATCACTACGTTAGTTTAGATACACAAATCTCTTTAAAAAAATTAATTTTATTGTACATTCTTTCTGAATGAAATAAGAAAAAAATAATCCGCATTTATTTATTTTTTTTTTACCGTATATCGGATGTCGACTTTATACGGTTCGAAGTTTATAGAGCGCATTTCGTATCCTGTTCTGACGAAAAGGCAAGTTACACTCGAATGCAGCTCAATGCTGTAACTTTGTGCTGAAACTTTGTGAATTTAGAAAGATTTCGATAAGGAACACGTTTTATAAACAAGATTTTTAAAATAACTTCTTAGATTTTTAATAGAAATAGAGGGAATTCTGAAATATGTTGAGCTACAGTCTATATTAAAGTCATGTACATATAATAAGCTTGTCTGTTTTGCTATGCAATGAAATCATGGACGTCAAGTCTCATCTCTGATATCTCGACACCTCGGATATCTCGACATTTTCCGATGGTCCCATCGATGTCGAGATAACGAAGTTTACCTGTAGTTTTAGTTTCATAAATTGTATGTTGGACAGAATTAAATAAAAAAAAATTTTAAAAAAAGAAAAAAAAAAGAGAAAAATTGAAGAAATTGCCCTTCAGGAACAGCAAAATTATTTGTATTTGTATAAGACATTCAGTGTTATACATTTATTGACTGGGTTCGAGGGCAACATGCCTTTTGTCAGACCCAAGAACCAAACTGTTTGCCTGAGGCTGTTAGGGGTCGACAAAACGCATTTTGCCCGGGAAAACAGTCAATAAATGTTTTGTTATACCTTTTATTTATTTTTTTTATTATTTTTTTTTGACATACATGTATGTCGAACACCAACGAATGCAAATGAGATTTAGCTGACTCCGCCCATTATGTGACGTAAGCGGTCCAACATCTCATCAACAGGTCCAATATCTCACTCCGCGGTCAAACATCAATTTTTTTATGCCCGCTCAGTAAAACATTGGAAATGTTAGACTTTTATTAGTTTATAACAAAATATAATACTGCATATAGATAAGGGTAACACTGAAAATTTTCACCCAAGAAACCCATAATCAACTGAGGTGCAGTCCAAGATTTTCTTGGGGTGAAAATTTTCAGTGTTTAACCCTCAACTACATGCAGTATTTATATAATGATGATTGACATTTCAGGATAAGCGAGGATTGATCCTTGTGAAGACACAGTCTATGCTTATAGTAGCCACATACACAGAAAATATGTTCCCAAGTGTTTGTGTTGAAGCAGTAGAAAAACTAGGTAACATTCTCAAGCTCTGATGCTTTTCTTTATTTAGTTAATAGATATTAGAATCTTTGACAAATATTTTGAATTATAATACCTCATTTTAATATTTTAGACGTTTTCTGAAATTTTTTTTCCCCTAATGTTGGTGAAATAGATTATTTCCTATAAAACTATCAAATATTGAGTTATCTCCCATATCATACTGATCCATAATTCACTTCTTTTCAGCGGATTATTTTAAAGAAAAGGGAAAATAGCCTCATCAATCGACATATGTGCACCCAAGTTATTCTGTGATATCAAATTTGTGACAGACATATATTATATACAATGTATATATTAAATATGTATTTTAACATTTATTTTCTACCAACTTTTTAGTTACATTTTACATTTTCTGTTGTGTAGGTGATTTTTCATCATTAAAGATGAATTTAAGACAAATAAAATAAAAAGTTTATCTTTTAAAATACAGATATATATATATATATAGAGAGAGAGAGATTAATGTCAACAACTTAAAGCCCCCTCCCACCAGTCCATGATTTGATGCAGTTTTACATTTGGACAGGAAATTTCAAACAGAGAACAAGGTTCAGACGATCAAACAAAGGTTGACAAATATCCTTGTCTGCAGTATCTGTTTATCCTCTCTCAGTGCTACTTTATGACAACACTAAATGAATAGGCCTATATGTTTTTTTTCACAAACGAATCCAGATGTTTCCTTAACCAGAAAAGATGCCAGGAATGGGTATGGAAAATTATTCAACAAGGTCGCAGATAGAAATCTAAGCATTAATTAAATAATTAATACTGGGATGTTGATACTTTGTATTCATTTCTCAGTCTGAATGATTAGAAGAATGTTTAATTAAAGATGATTGTATTGAGACTGCAAAAGGCGAGGTTTTTATAGATAAAGATACAAAATATTCCAATTCAGAGCTGTCAAGATGAGGAAAGTTCATTGACTCTCCCAGCATAAAGTCTGGAATTTGTGAAGACTGTTTTAAAAATAAAACCACCCCATTTTCTAAATAAACTATCCAGTACATGTTGACTAAGCTAAATTTGATTGGTGGTTTACATTGCTGGGTATTGAAGGAAATCACAATACACTCAAAACAATTATGTAACCAACAAATCATATGCAGGAATTCTCACATTTCTAGATTAACAACTTCATACCACTTGTTAATGAAAAGTTCGATTTTTTTATTCACTCATACTACCAAATGGTTTTTGCCAAAGATATTTACTTTAAAATCATCATACACTTTAGTTCTTAATGCTACAACTTCCAGGAATGAATGTTTCCACTAACCAGAATCAAATTTGGTCATAGTCCCTCAAGGTCATGTTCAACAAGGCAACTAGAAAGAAAGCAATTGAAAATGTACTTCACTGATTTAAGAGCGAGTACCTAAAATTCATGGCACAGCGTGGGACCGCATTTGGTTTCTAGAAGTGGTGTAGAAGCTCTCTAGAAGTGATCAACTCCTCTAAATCTGAGCAAGAGAATACTGAGAGTACTATTTATAAAATGTATTGTAAAAATTTGAATTTCATTATGATATCATTTTGTCCCAACTAGTACACTGTTTCTTCCTCAATGAAGAAATCTAAACTCTGTTCAAACAAAACAGAACAGCTGAGTCTGTATAATACATTTATTATAACCTTGTATACATGTATTAACAATATGTACGAAGCACACAAAATCATTTACAATAGTCATACAATTCTTTGCCGATTAATTTATTAATTTCTGTTCAGCAGACTAGAACTTGTTCTTATTATAAACTAAGATGACCCTGGCCACTCGTCAAGGACAAAATCTGCAAGGTCAAATCAAGGCATCTTGCAGATTTTTTTCCCCTTTTGAACAGCCAGAAGTCTCTTGTCTTGATGCTGAACATTTTTATATAAAGATTTGTCCTTTTTTTTAAAAATCATAGTCATACAATCATTGTTGAACTGAAATTAGTCACCTTTACATGGATATGATTGGATTCATTTCAAAAACTGTTATTGAGGTGTACAAGTCGATTAAATAACTAAATACATCAACCGTTAAAAAGGTCTATGGCAAGTTTGCAAGAGTTTATACATTTTTGTGACAAAAATGGAAAAAAAAATTCATACTGTAATTATAACAATATTAATAATAGTTTGCGATATCAATCCTAGCGTTTTATATAAGAGGTATACATAAATCTTTGGTGATGCAGCTCTGTGCTATAAATCAACGAAAAGGCACAATGATTGGATATGTTTCAAGTTTGACTACGTATTAACTTCATAAAAATATTCTAGATTAACATGATTTAAATTACAAGTAAGAGGTTATAGATAAGGAACAAAGTCAATAAATGTCATAATTATGATAGATTATTAACTTTACAGGATATTTAAAAAAAAAAATGACCAGAAGTTGACAAAGACAAGCAAAAAAAAAAAATCATACAACATTGCAGAGTAAATAATAATAACGTAGCTGACAAACTTAACAGAATATTCATAACTGCCTTGCATTGACCACCCAACAAATTTCAACATAAAAATATACACCTCACTATGCAGGAAAGTGTCCCATTAAAAATAATAAAATCAATTTTACAGTATACATATATTTTTTTTTGCTAATAAAAGCAAACAAATTCAACCTGTGTTACAAAAATGCACAATCATGATGCATAAATGTGAATTTATAGCAAAAATATAAATAAAATTCTTTTTCTGTTCTTAAACACAACACAATTATTTTTAAATGTGCCACATATTCCCCAGGAATGGCTTTACATGCAAAAGCTTCCTGATTGGTCAGTTTATCTTTTTGTTTTGCATCATATATAAGGGAACGTCCCAAACATCTAGCACATCCCTGTCACCAACTCCAACTTGCATAAGGCTAGAAGTTTGAAACCATCCATAATAATTAATGCACCATGCAGATATACATGTTCTATATCACATAAGCAGTACAACATTTCCTTTATTCCCCGCCATCATCCATACCATTAGATCCCTCTCCTTCCCCACCCCCATTGACTGTTGTTGTGGGTACACGTTTTGGGACAGTCATTGTATATGTCTGTTTCTGTAATGTGGGTCGTCCCTTGATGCCTTTCCCAGCAGCCCTCATCTCGTAGTGTTTGACGATGTCCTGATCTGAAGGAAGAGTGGCACTGAATGCTGTGGTCTGGTATCCACGTTCCAGGTAATCCCAAATGGCGGTCAACTCTTCTGGGATTTTAAAGTCCCTGTATTGCTGTAGAACAACAGATAAATGTCTTAGTATGTTAATGAACCTATTTTTCTTCTGAAATTTTTTTTTTCATATTTCTCATTCATTACTTTCTAAGCATATATAATTTAAAAGTAGAATACTTCTTCAACATGCCATTTTAATAAGGCAACAGTTTTTGTTAACATGTGGAGCTGCAAATTTTTTATCCAATGGCAGATTTTTTTAGCTTAAATAATCTATGACACTTTACACAGAAAAAAATTACTTTCAGTTTCAAATCCACCCTCTATCAGATTTTACTTCCAGAACATAACCATTAAAAATGCTTATTAAACAATCACCAACTCCATTGTGTTATTACTAAAACACTTGCCTCTCCCGCCATCCGTATGTGCTGTAGTTTTGGCAGTAAAACGCAGTCAGCATAAGCCAGGGTTGATCCTGTCAAGAATGGGGTCTCGTTCATCTCCAAATGACTATTCAAATTCCTAAGGTCGTGCAGTAGCTTCTTCCCATCAGAACTAGGGTTTTGTAAGAATAAGTTGAAATTCTGGCAAAAGGAAAAGAAAATTATTAAATTTGTCTAGGGTACCAATTTTTTAAATAAATAAATTTGCAGTATACAAACTTTCCACTGTAAATCTGTGGACAGAAAAAGTATTCAAATGCCTCCTACCTTATATAAATCCTCAAATATTTTCAGACTAGCAATATTGGCCTGTTGCGTTCTCTTCAGTTTAGGGCAGTTAAAATTTATACTCTCAAAGAATTTTTCCACATCATCATAATTGTCATACACGATGCCAGTTATATCCTGGCCATTGACATTCTGCCCACTTGTTCCAATCACTACTGGAAATATTTTGCTTTGGACCTTGTCTTTGAATGTCTGAGGTGGGTTATTTGCCTGAACTGTGAAAACTTTAAAGCTTGCATTCTTCTGTTCAGCCAAGAGATAGGCAATCATGAACCACTGTTGGCAGATTGGACAAGATCCTTTCATTTCTCCATCAATGCTTGAAGCCTGTGTAAAGAGAAAATGGGAATTCTCATGAACACCTTCAACAGAATGCAGGCTCTGCACTCCATGCACAGCTTTGATAATCATCATTTCAAAATAGGTTAGCTAAACACAAAAGTTTACAAGAAAGTAAAGCTGAAAAAATGATATGAACACTGTGTATATTATTTTACGACAAATTAAAAACTGCACATCATTAAAGTCTGAAACTTGTTTTTTAATAATACAGTATAACTTTATCTATGTTATAGGCAGTAAGAACTCAAAAATTATATTAAATAAATGCACTTCTTGAGTAGCATCTCAAATCTGACTATATGTTATTTCAGAGACATATAAAACCATAGGTTTATATGTCTCTGGGTAGTTAACAATCACTATCAATTACAATACTTTTATACTGACTGATCTGTTGGTGTTTACATAAAGAACCCCCGGTATTGCTCATAAAACGTTATATTTTGAAAATTTTAAGGGTATAAAATATCGAATTAAAGCACAACAGCCCGATTTTGATTAAAATGGCCATATGTGTTTGCACAAAGGGAGATCAATCTTCAAGTCCTGATTTTAAAAAAATACGTTTTACGATTTTAATATTCCGTGCAGAAAAATGTATACATATTTCAACTGCACCTTTTCAAAAGTCCATTCTTAACCAGTCAAATGTAGAACATAACGGAACGTCCAACTGACGCCGTCAACAAATGAATAAATTGGGCGCAAAGCCGAAAATGCGAAATGAAAGGGCAATTGTTTCGTGCAAAAACATCAACAAACCTTAATGTACAGTTCAAATTTGGGTTTTGTGTCCTCCTCAGCATCTTCAGGCTCATAAAATGGTTTTTCGTCACTCATTTTGACGATTTTTTGCTGGAATTCACGAAGAAAAGTTCAGCAATTTGTCCTCCCTTTGACGAACTGCCTCGCCCAGAATTTCACTGATTAACGCACGCATGCGCATGGTGTTTAGTCACGTGTTCTTGTTTATAAGTGGGATTTTACAAACAGCAAAAAAATGTTTAATATTTTTTTTGTCTGAATTTTTGTCTACGTCCAGTGTAAAGAAACGCTGAAACTTACAATCTCATTGACTTGAAACTGACAATAAAATATCTTCTCAGCTCAGGTCAAATTGTTTTTTTTAAGTTTTCCTCTAAAAGCAGTGCATTCATCTTTGATCTTGCTAAAGTACATGAAGTGAAATCAAAACTGCTGTGTTTTATATTGATAAATCTTCGGCAACATAGGTCAATCTCCTGTCGAACACCCTTTGGATTTAGATTTAAAATTAAAAACGTGCATTCGGAGAAAGCACTTTCGTGAGTTCGTTGGCTTTAAACAATAGGAAATGATTTTAAGATGTTCTGATTCACTTTCTTCCCCCCTCTCCCTCTCTCAAGATACTTTCCCTTCATGTTTACGATGAAAATGGATTAAGTTTTAATTCTAAGCAAACCTCGCGGGTACAAGAGAATTCGTCGTATTAAATGACAATTTTTATATAAGATCATTTTATTAAAAAATTATGTAAGTTCAGAAAAACTCAAACTGGGACACTTCTTAAATACTAGTATAGGCCCAAGGTCCCTTTCTGTGTCTTTATTACATATAAAGTATGCGTTAGAATTGCATGTTAATCAATCCTCTTAATTTAACTAATCATTACACGTGTAAAATAAAATAAAAATAAAAATTGTTAATTAAACACAATATCGTTTTCAGGTGTGCATATTAATCTAAAACAGGCATATAACAGGTGAAGAAAAGCGGCTAGTCCACGAGAACTGGTACTTCCCTCTCCGTGGCAGGTTTTAGGGTTTGAGGAGTTTTTCTTTTACAGAAAGATACAGAATAGAATATAGTTAAATATAATTTTGTTCTTTCTAAATGTATTTGGTCGTCATTATGGTGTTTCTACATGCACAATTTCATGTAGATTACCGAATAGCGTAATCATACATGGTATATGTAGTATCATGACGTCATAATATTTGAACATCACAATGTACAATATGCGTCATAATAAGCAAGCGTCACAATTTGTTACATGTTTGCGTTTCCAAAGCACGGGAAATGGCAACAGAAATTAGTGTCAGGCCTGGACTGCACTGTCTTGGTGGTACTGCTTTTGAGAACGATTTTAATATATTTAATTTCATGGAAGGATTGAAGGTATAGTTAAAAGTTTCTTTTAAACATTTATAGTGCTTTTTTTTTTTAATTTTTCATCATAATGGCCAACCTCTACTTGTAGATAAAGCACACAGCTAGAGACATGCAGTACTGCGCTAAACATTTTACGCCGAGAGAAAAGTGTTCACGAAAAGCTAGAAGAACTATTAATGAAAGGAATTGCTTGAAAATACAGTATATTTTTTCATTTGATTAACATGTTTATTTATTTATTTATTTATTAAATAGAATATTTTGTCCATTAAAGGACAATTATATGGATAAGTAAGAAATACAAGATCGTTTCTTTTGGAACGAAATCCAGATGGAATACTATTTGTTTTGCAAAAGCTATGTTTTTCGAGCATTAACCGGCACTCTAAGACTTATCCCAGGCAGAAGCTCTTACAGGAACAAAATGCAGGGGAAAAAAACATTCTGGCGCAGTACAAGTTTTATGGACTACATGGGCTGCATGCATGCTACTGCGGAGAAATCCATAAAGAAACAAAAGGCTACAGGCTATTGGTTCCAGGCCATATACATAAATTACATACTGAATACAAAGATATTCAGAGATATGTTATGTATAGAAGAATTGATCATATTATTTATCTTGACTGATTTGCAATTAATTTCGAAATTGTATAATTTTAAAATATCGTTTCCATGGCCGTCAGTATTTTATTTCAATCACTTTTATGACATAGCTAGATAACACAATTCATTAAAAAACACATTGTCAAACTGCACATACATATAATGTCCCTAAAAAATAAACTTCCCGAGACTCTTAATAAGCATTGAATTGGACAAAAACCTTCCCTCTTTGCTCTATTAATCAGACCATAAATCAAGCACATGCATATTATGTAACACGTCTGCCTTCATTTTTCAAGAAAGGAATGAATCATTTAAAGATCTTATTGCGATATAGATTTTCAGCATTCTTTTTATAACGGGTACAAAAATGTCAGACATTGACAAGTATCTAGCTAGATATGTAGTTTTGGTGGCATAGATACCAGAAAATGTTTTCAAGTACTGTACTTAGGAAAATTACTTCGTCAGCTTTAATCTCTTGTTCTATAAATATTAAAGTTGCATAATGAGTCAAAACCATGTGTTTCTTTTAAGAAAATTGTATCACAAAACAAAAGATTTCTGTGAAATATAAATAAAGCGAAGTTTTGACAACTCAACTGCACTGTAAAGCAAGAAAAAAACTGCAAAATATAAGTGCCGGAAAAACAAATGTTGTATCTATCGCTTTGTTTTTATCGTCAATGTCAACAATGTCAAGGTCACGCGTCCTTTATTTTTAGCGTGAAGTAAGTAAGGAATAAGTTATGATCATCTTTTTTGAAGATTGTATCAAAATTCTCAGTCATCCGACATTTATATCTATGAAATTGAAATCATGGTAAATTCTTCAACTTTTCAGCGCATGCGTACAATAAAGAGGAAGAAGTGAAGCAATATTTTTGTGATGAGTTATACAAAGATTTTTTTACTTTTATTTTTCTCCATTAAATTAGATTTTTTAGGTTCTGAAACCTGTAATTTTCTGAAACCTAATATCTTCAAGAACTGAACAAAATTTGCATGTTTCATGCAAAAATTCTACTGTTGTCAATTTTCCCGTTTGTCCTTCACAGTGTCACTTTAAAAATATGCATGTTTATTTATTTATTTTTTTTTTAAATCGAATATTTTGGCCATTAAAGGACAGTTATATGGATATGTTTTTCTATTCTCTTGGCTACCTATCAAACAAGCTAAAGTATAGGAAACACTACTCAGGTCTGAGACTGGGGTTTCAAGGGGGGGGGGGGGGCAACCTCCAAAAAAAGTTGACAAGCTAAAACAAAGATAAACTGTCGAAATTCGTAAAACCTATTTCATAGGGGGTGGAGTGTGTGTGTGTGGGGGGGGGGTCGGGGGGGGGGGCTTTCTCTAACTTTTCAGTACCTTTTCACTACTTTGCCTATGTCTGTCCGTAACAAAAAGGGGGGGGGGGAGGGGGCAAGCAACATCGTAATCAAAATTTACATATTAAAACTACAGCAACCTCGGGCCTACTACTGCATCTGAAAAAGAAGGAGGTGTCAGAAAATCGCACCTAGTTTACACTGACCAATTATTCAAATCTCCTCTCCAAAAAACGTCAATTATATCAATTTGACCAAAGGTATAAAAACGGTTCCGAAAAATTCCTTGTCACAGATTAAGATATACCCAGCATACACTCGGTAGGAGACTTCCAAACTCAGTCAAGTTAACGGGCCTCACCCACCCGTCAATTAGGTCATCGGAATGACCTCGCTGAAAGGTGTATACGGGTATGTGAATGGAGATTCGGTTATCTACGGAAGGTAGATAATCATTAAATATTGACACATCCCTCTAACTATATTCTAGGGTCGCCGACATACCTATCTTTACCCTACCTGGCGATTTACCAGGTATATTGGTAACTTCTCAAAATTTAAATGGAAGGTATCAAATTAACATAATTCTTTGTCGGAATGACTTCTTTGAAACTTACAGAATATTCTAACACTTTATTCTAACACTTCTTTGAAGTGCCTCGTGATGTGTTTTACACACCAAAAACCACACACTGAATAGTAAATTTACTTTGACATGTATATTCGCTGAATTCCAATTAGATAGCTTTAAGCCTTACATCAACAGGTGCGATTAGCTTGATATCCGTAGAATTTCGTTCTGCACTAATTACAATTATTTTCTTGAACTTCTCTCTAAATTTGATATATGTAATTATCATAACTATCTTCAAGTTTACGAACAGGGAAATTAAACAGGCCCGTAGGAACTGCGAGGAGGCGTGCCCCCTTCCCTTCAGCCTTTTCGCCAATTTTTGCCCCCCCCCCCAATTTAGATCTGTAAAAGAAAGAGGGAAGGGGTAATGTATACTACATGATTCTGGTTCCCTACGATCAGACTTATTTCCCTTTGCTCCGTCTCTGGAAAATGATCTCTGGGAACCACAATCTTTTTACCCCATCCCCCATTATAAGACCCTGTCTCTCCGAATTATCCCTGAAATTGTATTGGGTCATTTACTTCAAATCTATATATAAGCTTTATATTTCAATTAAAACATGCAAGCATTTAAAATAGTTTATATATCTATTATGAGACACGTCTTTATTATCTGTGATCTATTTAATATCCAGCCCATCTTGCATTTCCTTGCGATTGAATGTGTGTTTCGTCCCATTTCCTAGCGTTTTAAACTAGATAAAATATAAAACTATAAAACAGTGGCCTCTTTTTCAGAGGAATTTCGACCCTTTCATGGAAGGATTCATACCTCATGATGGAAATTAATGGCCCCTTCGTACAAAGCTAGGATTGTCCAGACACACAATGTAAAAAAAAAAAATCATTCATCTTGTTACATTACCGTGAAAGTGATGCGACATAGATGTATCTAGCTGTTTATTTCTTAATAAAAAAAAACCCCATCGTTTATAGTTATATTTGTAGGCAAGATACAAAGTTCCTTTCAATGATTAGAACACTGACCACCAGGAAATGAAGATGCGCCGCGGTCCTGCAATTTTTTTGATCATACAAAAAGCTGATAAGCTTTAGTAGGACGATACACTGTTCACGGTGGAAGAAAAAGTTAATAATTTTCATCTGTGGCCTTAAAATTCCTCAAAGTCAAGTTAAATATCGCCATCGTGTTTTGAAGGGTGTTCTATACAAGTATTTGCAGTAAATACCTTAAAAGGAAGAGGTGCATGTT